CCCCCCATTCATGCTTGTCCTGATCCTGCAATGCATTGCATATGGGTGGACATCTGTGCCCACACAGAGCCTTATTGAAGTTAATGAGATTACTCATGTGAGTAATTTGCATATGGGCATAAATGTTAGTGGCATTGGGAACATAGGAGCTCTACAACTTGCCTAGTTGCAGAAAGGAAACATCTCTGTTCACTGCGTTGAAAAATTGTCCCTTAATTTTGGAAGAGAAAAACTTATTTAAAAAAATAGACATAGCAAAGTGTTTCAAGATCTAATGAAAGTTGCCTGCAATATCAGACTTGTTTATGTTCAGTACTTGATCAGGAGTTGATGATTTGTCAGATATTGGACCTTTAATATGCCATTGGTACAATATCCTATAAATCAAGCCCTGGTCCAGTGCTTAATATAAGCAAGTTCCATGTTGCAGAAAAAAGTACGATAGTAATTAGCATAACTTGATTCAGTGCCTTTGGAATCACTTCCTGGTGAGTAGTGCAAATACTTTCAGCACTTGTCCTGGCCCAGCAGTTAGAGAATTCTGATTCTTTGAACCACAGATCCTATCAGTATTCCTTATTTATAATTTTAATACATATTTTGTATGTCTAATTTTTGACTAGTTTTGTACTGTAGCATTTCACTTTGTCATTTACTGTAGAAGCAGCTCAGGCAGAAAATGTCGAAGAAAATGAAGAACCTTTCATTGCTCCCTTGGGACTGAGTGTACCTTCTGATGTAGAACTGGTATGTGTGTATATTTAATACTGCCTTTATAGCAATAAAGTTTTATGGCCGTTCATAAGGTTTTAACTGCATTTTTCCATTGACTTTGAGTTAAAATCTACCCAGCTATTTTAAAATTAGTGGGTTAATTTAAACTGACCACGGTCATACGGAATTAGAACTGTCATATTTTACTTGCTCCATTGAAAAGAGTGTAATTTTTGTTGTAATGTGCTTTTACCATCACTTACAATATTGATTAAGTACTCTGGAAGAAAACGTAATTGTTTTTGTAGTATTTATTTTTAAAATTGCAAAATGCATCAGCCAACAAACAAGGTTATCTGCTTATAAAATGGCAAACTTTTGCAAATTCTTTGAAATAAAAGCATAAAGAACCACATTAATATAATTTTTATCTATCTTTTCATTTGGAACAAAGATAAAACCTTGAGCAAAAGTATATTTAAGTTCAATTTATTTTACAAAAAAAGAGTAAAAAATTAAAAATAGGGCTTGCACTAAGTAAGCGAAGATCAACTATAGCCATTTTAAAGAGCACTTCTATGAAGGAGTGATGAAAAATTAATACATTCTAAGAAATATATCCCTTTATTTTGGGAACATCAGAACCACAGAAGTTTTTTTTTTCATTCAGTGTTGTCACCACAATCCATGCAATGTAATTTTTGAACTTGATACAATTTACTTATTTTCTATAAAACGTAGGCTGAATCAACTCTTCCTTCTTTACGGAAGTTTGATTTCACTGAAGTGAGGTACCATTGATGCTTGACTACATTTGTAAATGTTTGGAATTCAATATGTTTCATGTGTTATATATCAGAGATTTTTATGATAAAAACAATCCCTGTGTATTATAGAACATTTTGAAAATGTTTCTGTGGAGTTGCCTCAGCTCAGAGGCAACAGATTACTTAGCAATTTGCTGATGAGCTCTTAATTGGCAAAAATTACTAGAATTCTGAGTAAACACTGTATTACTAGTACAATAAATACTGGAACACACAGTATACCATAGCTTTGTCTTCATTAGGTATTCATTGAAGGATTTCATCCTGTTTAATGTTGGTATCATGTGGTACATATCAGAGCTATTCATTTAACAGATCTTATATCCTTGTTTTACAATTTGAATTTTTTGTTTGATTTCCAAAGGTTTCTTTGAAATGTTTATGTAATGAAACTACGGTAGCCGTATAATAATGTGCCATAAGTATATTCCTTCAATGCAGTTGTCTTTGCAGTAGGGTTTCTTTTGTTATAAATGTTGGAGGTTGAGTTGCTGTCAGTGGTGGAACCCTATTAAATTGAATTTTCCTATTGGTACATTAAGAATAAATCCAGATGAACTACTCTGATCACAGTGGAATCTCTTCATTCTGGGCTCTCCATTTCTCTCCCCTTCAATATCTTTTTTCTCACCTGGTAGACTGCAGTTGTGATACTGCTCTTTGCTTTTATGAGGGCATACAGATGGCTGATGATGGTGTGCCTCCGAGGACCCTCTAGAGGTTGCTAGGGTCCTCTGTTAAGTTTGTGACATGTGCCAAGTGTCATGAGTCCATTTATCAAAAAATCCAAAGTTACTATCCAAAATGCAAGCTTTCTATTTTTTTCAGAGTTATTGTCAATCCCAAACCCCATTTTTAAAAATACATTTTATTTTACAGGCCAGTAGTACTAATAATCTCAGTAATAACTTTCCCTGTGAGCACAGCAGTAATTAATCATAGCGCATATTTTTCAGTAGCTTTTTATGAAAGGGATACCATTAATTTATCTAGTGTATTTGAAGAAAGAGTTAAAAATAAGTTTGATACATCCCCTGTGTTTTGAGTTCTCCTGCTGATATTTATGGTTTCGATAATATTTTCCTGTTCTGTTTCTCTCGCCTGTTGCTGCTCAGAAGGGCCACCAGAGATCAACTGATTAAATGATTTCATTGTGAAACTGGCTGTGCACATAGTTCTGTCAGATACACAAGTAAAGAAACTGATACTGTAGAGAGAACTTCTTTGCTAACTTTTAACTATAATAATCTCAGGTGTTGTAACAGTTGGGGAAAACATTAGACAAAAGTGTGATTATTTTTCAAGTTAATATTTTAATAAAGACTTTAGTAGAAATAAACTTGCCCAAATAAAGGTCCTTTGTGTTTACCTCACCTTGAAACAAAAATATTTTTCCACGTTTAAACAAATGGCACCAATCTTAATAATATGGTTTGCTTTAGCTGTTTTGAAATGGAATCTTGCTATGCTCTACTCAGATTTCTGTATCTGTCTGTTGGTGCAAAAAATCTAAAAACATAGAGTGAACCATTAATGTGGTATCTAGTTCTTAGGTATCAATAATTATTTTAATTGTAGAAATTATGTGCAGTTAAGAAAAAATAGACTTAGCCAAGTAGCGAATTAAATAAAGACAGTGAGCAGTACTGTTTATGAAGCATTTCAATTCTTAAATTACGTTCTTGTTCTCCAGACAGTTTGATTTTATTTGAAAAGGTGGGGGGCAGCTTTCATTAGTCCTCAGTAGTGGGTGAAAATGATGTAGTGCTGTTTAGCTTTATTCCTTGAAAAAAGCATTCAAACTTTGATATGTTTGACTATGGTTGATTGTGGCAGCACAGAAGAATTGCAGTTCAGAGGACACTGCTCAGATACAGTTTCCTGGAGGAAGTCTTGCTACTTGATATCTATCTCTCTACCAGTCTAGGACACTATTTGCATACTTTGAGAGTATTGTTAATTGCCTTTAGCAGAAATAATGGTAACTGTGTTGAGGGAGACAGAGTTGAGAGTGGGAGAAGTTTACAGGAAGGAAACATGGTGAATCTTCAGGGTTTCTTCAGATATGGAAGCCGAGGAAACTTCTTCCAGATATGGAAGCTCTTCTTTTGTTTTAACTCTAGCCAGGCGTCTCACTAATTTACTTAATTGTTCATGGATTGATTAGTAAAATGTGTTCATAAGTATTTTTATTTTGTTCCCATAGCCACCAACTGCAAAAATGCATGCAATTATAGAGCGTACTGCAAATTTTGTGTGCAAGCAGGGAGTTCAGTTTGAGATTATGCTGAAAGCCAAGCAAGCCCGCAATTCTCAGTTTGACTTCTTGCGATTCGATCACTACCTCAACCCCTATTACAAACTCATTCAGAAGGCTATGAAGGAGGGACGATATGCTGCTCCTTCTGAAAACAAAATGGAAGAAAAAAAGAGTAAGTTATTGTTTGATATAAAATACGTCTTGATCATGTGTGGGTTTATAAATGTTCTCTGCTTTATTTTGCAAAAATGAGGCAATTATCTGAACTGGAATAAGACAGGGCCACATGGGAGTTACTACATTCTGTCTATGTAAATTACTCCAGCAGTTTCATTTGGGTAAGGTGGTGATCACTTCCTATCCTCAACTGTTGTGCATTGCTGCTATGTACTTTAGCAGTGGCTGCTTATTACCTGAGAAGTGGCTGAATATCATGGGTACATGAAGTGATCACAGTATATAGCCTGCTTTTGGATGAAAGTTGCACATATTTGTAAAAATGCTATAGTTTGCCTTTCTTTCTGCACCTTTCTGGTAGCATTTGCTTTTTATAGAATTAATTGCACGATACTGTGTTTTCTAAATCTTGTGCAAATGTAAAAGAACTGAAGTCTTCATTGAATGAATTATTTATTGATCTTCCTTTCCTGAAAGGGGAATACATTGGTTAGAGGGGGAGCAGGGCAATCAGTGAGAAAGCATTCAGCTAATTAGTACACAGGAAATAATGGTTTACTTAATGTTGACAACTTCAAGTTATATGTAGCACCATTATGTGTGAGCTGCAATATTCGCAAGTAAAATTTTAGGAATATGTAAGTAGTACTGTCAAAATAAAGTAATTAAAAATTTGCCATGCACTCACGCACCCTCACTTTAATATGGAATGTTCACTCTACAAAGAAGAAAAGAAATAATAAACAGCCACATTTTTTTTTTTTGGAGTGTTGGCATGTTAGTAGGACAATACTCTAGCGTCCTATAATTGAGATTGATAAGGTGCCTCAGGACAAAGGAAGTCTACTTTTACAGCAAAATAATTTAAAAAAATCTCTAAAGGGAGAACATTTTATATTATTCAGATCTAAGAGCTGCTGTGGTCTTGGAGCACCTATAATAAATTCTATTCGCTTATAAATTCTATTAGTATATTGGAAAATTACCCCATGCAACTAAATATTAGTCTTAATTTGATAGCTAACCGTGCTTGTTTGTGTCTCTCGTTTTTAGTAGTCTGCCTGTAAGACAGTAAATGGTTTTAAGACTTCAGTTTGTCCAATAGATTAATAATTTATGACAGGCAGAAATGCTACTGTGCCTCTTCTGTTTTAACCCTTTTTTCAGGGTTTAATTATCTGTAGCCATGGGCTTGGCCTACACTATTGAAACAACTTAAAACATAAAGCCTTCAACCATGTATATAAGTGAGAGTGGAAATGTACTTTGCACATAAATTTCATTTGAACTTGAACTGCTATAAATTATGCCTGTTCAAATATGTACATATCTGTCTGGCATTATGTAAATAATGCCAACTTTTAAATGGTCACAAGAGAACATTTTAATTGTATTGTAGTTTGTCAAGATTCATTAGGCTTTTCATTTTTGTTCTGTAACTGTTACTGAAAATAAAAGGGGATACAAAATACCAGATTTAAAGAAGTCAAAGTTCATTCACACATTAGAATTTCTATAGGTTATTCCTTGAATGACTGAGTTTCTTAAAGCCATAGTTTCTAACGGTGTTCAAAATTAACTTTATTCCTGCTCCCTTTCTCCCTACCTGACACCTCTTAAAATGGCAAAAGAGAGAAATGAAACTAAAATCCCCCCCCTCTAAACATTGGCTTTTATGTAGATTCAAAAGTTAATTCTGATGAAGAGGAGGATGACGACGATGAAGATGGCAACTACCTGCATCCGAGTCTCTTTGCCTCAAAAAAGTGCAATAGACTTGAAGAGCTTATGAAGGTAAGCCCTCTGGAGAATGGACTATCTCTTGTTCGCTTTGTAGAGTACCTATCATAGTGGGGTCCTGGTACATGACTTGGGTTGCAAGGTGCTACTGTAATACCTTTTATTAGTAGTAGTAGTAGTAGTAATTTGTATTTGACCATATTAAAACTACTGTTCTAGGTTGTAATGCTTCAAGTTGCAAGTTCTGATTTGTATACAGTACAGTCTTTGTAATGCCGTACTTCCCTTGCTTTGTTGACACAACCGGAAAAAATAGAGCCTACATATTGGTAAAAATTTTGGAATATATAACTTGTGTGCTTCAGGTTTCCTGCCTCATGCTTTTTTAATTTCCTGGACATCCTTGCTAATCGCCAAGATTGGTAGTTTGAATAGTTCTATTCCCTCACAGCCAGCCTTCTCTATTTTATTTTATAGTGAAGTAGTTGTGCTGAAATTGTGACATACTTTTAATGACAAAAATCTTATGTCCTAAGCACAAGGTCGAGCAGCTTAAGAAGCTGGGTTGTGAAGGAGAAACTTCTCAATCGCAGATCTGCTACAGTATCACAGTTGATTTAGAAAATTATTGGGGAAAAATTTGCTTTTTATTTTCAAGTTAGGTTTGCCCTCTTAGGAAAATAGTTTAACATTTATTTCCTGATCACTTGAATAAAAAATCCTACATGAACCCTGACATGTAAATCATATTATTTTTAGCAGTCTACTTTTATCTTTGAGGTGTTCTGGCTTTGAATACACCTTTTTCTGTTGCATAACAATAAAGGATGGTTTCCATATTAACTATATATCAGCGATAAACAGTTCTTTAAGAGATCCTGTCCCTTCATACATTGTCTCAACTTAATGTTTTCTTTTTACACTTTAATAGAATCCCAGTATCTAATGATGGTTTAATTGAATGACTTTTTAACAATTAAGTTATCCATTTATTGTCTTATTTTTACAAGATTGTTAAGCATTTTTGTTTCCTTTATTTATTCAAGATACCTTGCTAATGGTAATGGCATAAACAGCTAAAAGAACATAATGGAGACTAATCTTTCACTTATATTTTTGAGGATGTTCAAGGGGAATGGTAAAAAAGCTAACTGGCCAATAATAAAAAACCCTATCTGGGATGATTTAGTTGGGGATTGGTCCTGCTTTGAGCAGGGGATTGGACTAGATGACCTCCTGAGGTCTCTTCCAACCCTAATCTTTCTATAAAAATACCTCATATTTTCACAAGACCCACCATTGATATTTAATACTAGCTTTGATGGAATGTTACTTTTAAGGCAGCTACAGAATTCCTCATCTTACAGATTTATTTAAAAATATACAAATACAGTAACTCCTAACTTAAAGTCGTCGCAGTTAATGTTCTTTCATTGTTACGTTGCTGATCAGTTAGGGAACATGCTCGTTTAAACTAACGTCGTTTGGCAGCTGCCTGCTTTGTCCACTGCTTGCAGCTAGGTGGTGGGGGCTTGGAACCAGGGTGGACCGGCAGCCCGCCTATCAGCTCCCCCTATCAGCTTCCCGCTCCCTTAAGTTACCTGTGCTGCAGCCGCCCAGCAGGCTATCAATTGCCAGCAGTTCAGCTGTCCCTCCCCCCACTGCCATGTGCTGCTCCTGCCTTCTGCCCTGGAGTTGCTACCAGAGACTCCTGCTTGCTGTGCAGGGGGGGAAGAGGATGGGGGCTAATGTCAAGGTGTTCCCCTCCCCCCTGCTCCTGCACCCCATTTACCCCTTCTCCATATAGAGCAGGGAGGGACACGGCCGGAGAGAGACATAGAGAGCTTGGGGCAGCAGCTGCTGTCTCAACTTCACAATGCACTTGAGAGTGGGTCAGCTTACTTAAAGGGGCAGTGTACATCTCTCTCTTTCTCCCACACACTAGGTGTGTGTCTGTCTCTGTCTGCTATGCTGTCTCCCCTACCTCGTGTTTGTGCTGCCTTGTGTGAGAGACTACATTAACAACGTGTTAACCATTGAGTGCTAAGCTAAGTGCTAGTTCATCATTTAGCAGCAAGGCATTCTTTGGGAAATATCCCTTTCACCCTCTAACTTCACCACCTCAACCAAGCTTCACAATCATCATAGCTATGAACAGTATTAAATTTTGTTTAAAACATATAGTGTGTGTATATCTATATAATATATAGTTTTTTTGTCTGGTGGAAAAAAATTTCCCTGGAACCTAACCTACCATTCCCCCCCTCCCCCCATTTACATTAATTCTTATGGGGAAATTGGATTCGCTTAACATCGTTTTGCTTAAAGTTGCATTTTTCAGGAACTTAAGTACAACATTAAGCAAGGAGTTACTGTATGCTGTTTTATCGTTCTTACTGCTCACTTTCAGGTATGCTTTTGTGATAAATGTAAGACTTTTCAGCAGGTTGATAGCCAGGGTGACGTAAAAGGTATAAGACTTGTGTTCCGAACAGTGTGTCAGTATTTCTCTAAAGCATAACAATGAGACATTCTGAAGTTATTGGGGAAAGGGAGTGTTAAATTGCTGTTCTTCGTCCTCAAATTCAGAAGTTCTAAATACTTATACTTAAAATTGTTGATCAAGTGTTAAATTGATGTCATTACAATTTTTGCAGCCTTTAAAAGTGGTGGATCCTGATCATCCACTTGCAGCACTTGTCCGCAAAGCTCAGTCTGACAATAACTCATCTACCCCACAATCAGCAGATAGTGCAGCCATACAGACATCACAGGCGGACTATCCTGCAGATTGTAAGTACATTGTGATACAAAGATTATAGTAAATGTGGGAATTGTCCTCTTTATAGATGAAAGTAATGAGAGGTGATAGTATTGATCTATTTTTCCAGATGGATAGTCCTTTTATCTAAGGGGTGGTAACTTTCCAGTGTAAGTTTTACACCAAGAACATTATTTTTCTGGTATCTTAATTAAGCCTTGAAGAGGTTCTGTTTGTTTTTATTTTGAGAGAAAATGAAATTTCTTTTATACCATATAATTCCAGCAGTCACAAATCCAGTACCTGTACCTGATTTCCTAGGGAGTGTGGGCATATGGGATCTCAAGATCAAGCCCCATGCTTTCTTGCACTGCCGTATAGTTGGTAGTAATTTATCTCGTGGGATCGCTTAATAAAGAACGGAAATTACTTGAATTTATACTAGGTCCGTAGTAGCAGATGGGTGTCTAATAGGAATGAAACAAATCTTTCTTTAATGTGTTCAGTATGAAGTACACTAGCAATATTGCACATATACATTAGTTATACCATCAGTGTTTTAAACTTCCCACTCTTGGGTGCTCACATAGTAACAATAGAAAGAAATGCCTCTTCCCACCTCTGGACACTTCCATTCCATGGTTTCATCACCCCCTAATTGAGGTCAGTCCGGTCCACTGTGTAGGATTGACTAATGCATTTGAAACTACAGCTTATTTAGCATCCACCAAATTGCTTTCTGGACAAGAAAGACCAACATGAACATCTCACACCAGGCCTCCTGTGAGCTTCTCAAACTCAGTGTCCAATTCCAGATTCAGATAAGGCCTACTTATTTTAGAGACAGATGAATGTATTAATAGAGAGAGAGAGAGAGAGACTGAATGCTCTGTTAATTGCTGATGATTGAATCAGAAATGGTCAATCTTCATGCTGTCTCAGTTGCTGACATGGGCCAGTTCCGTTTCCTTGTCGGTCACTCTTACCAGAGGACAAATTTCAAGGAGATTGAGAGGACAGTTACTGTTATAAGATCAGTCATGGTACTAAATTTAATGTTACGCAAAACTCTTGGAGTTCATAACCTGTGCATGTTACTATTTTTTCCAGACTCAAAATGAGAATCACAGTAGCTGTTGCAAACAATGTACTTGTCCCACCAACAAGATACCCATTCCCTGCCGGCTTCATGATGTTCTGGTGGACAGTCTCCGAGAACACCTGATAGGTGTACTATTTTCTCATCCTCCTGCTAGTGTTGTCACAAATGCATCTGCAACTGCTATTTTTTGATTGGCTAAATTGATCAGTTTGCTCAGAACATCCTGAAATGCAGTGACTGGCTATCCGCATGACCCAACTTGTTCAGTGCCTCCCAGCATAAATTTCAAGCGATTACCCTGGAAAGTATAAGAAGTACAATTTTTTAAAAAATCTGTGTTTGAATAAGAGAGGCTTTATAAATTTGAAATAAGATCTCTTTTGAGCCTGGGAAATAGAAAACTTTGAGAGAGAAAGTTATTTATTTTGAACGTACCTATGAACAGGGAATTAGAACCTGTGAAGTGTTTTCTGAATTACCTGTCTCTCTTGATCACCTTTTGTCCATGAGTGGGACAAGATTAATCAGCTGAGAACCAGAGAATTGGCACTGTGTAAAGTTTTACCTCTCCAGTTTTCTGCTCATTTGCCACCATAAAAACAACCAACCCTTGCTTGTCTCCCTGTAGAAACATTCTAGTTTGGAAAGGACAAATACTATCGTTCACGGCCTTCCTTATGGAACTCACTTTTTATCAGAATAGTGCAGATGTTTGTGAATGTGGCACAGCTTGTTAACTACCGTCAACTACTATGATTTATTTATAAGCCTGTGGTCATTTAGGATCTGCCAAGTTTGCAAGGTGGGAGACTTTTTTGAAAAGTTGTTCAATGTATTAGAGTGAAACTACAAAATAGTTATACATGCTGCATGCTCAAAGGTAGACTATCTTACACATAAACGCTGTTTGTTATTGTGTACCATGTTATTTGTGCTATGCTTTTGAACGGTTTTGAAGAGGTTTGAGTATTGACTTTGCTAAAGGAATCAGAATGTGAAACACTGCATAAGGTTCTTTGTGTTTTGGTTTTATTTGATTATGGGTTTGTTTGTTTGTTTTTTATTCTTCCCACCCCCAACTTCCAAAAATACGGCTTTGGAGAAGAATTAGTTAATTTGCTTTCAATTCGATCTGCTTTTAGTGTAGCTCCACAAGAAATACTTACTGTAAATGCACTCTGGCAGCACTTTAATGCCAGCAAGCCTCATTAAATACTCAGCTCATTATGCTTGGTTTCCCTCTTTGATTTATTGTATACATTTAAAGAAAGCAGCTCTAACCATGGGTTGTATATGAGCATTGACTCCATCTTCCTATGATCAGTCTACTTTTCAATAGACCAAATGCACAGAGTTGCGGCCTAAATGGCTTCAAGCTTTTATCAAACAAAGTAAAGCAGTTACCCAGGTTTAAATAATGTTTGAAGTGTTTTTAGTGATCATAATGTAACTTGGTCTTTCTTGGTAGTAAAAATTATCTGGTAAATTGTTCAAAAAGGGCATAAAGCTTACATTTGCATAGTATTATAAGGCTTTTTTATTGCAGCTATTGATAATTAATTTAAATTAAAATTATTTGTATTTATAAATCCCCATCCAACTTGGAAGAAATAAAACCACCAATTAAAAAAGAAAATAGCAAGGTCTTAATAGTAATTTTGGATGATTGCACTTCATATTAACTTTTTCTTACAAAATGGCCTTTTCTCTTTATCTCAAAATAGATAGCATAGAAATAAAATAAAATAAAAAAATCCCGCGAAAGGTGATTCTCTCCTAGTAGAGACTTTAAAAGTGAAGTCAAGTTAGAATGCAGAGCAGTAGGAGGAGATAAAATAGAATGGTGGTATAAACTATATAACTAAAGAGGAAGCGTTCTTCATTTCTGTGATAAATAGAAGACTAAGAAGGGATATGGTGAAACTAAAGCATCAAAATTAAAATGTGTAAAATAGAATAATAGTTTGATGCAATATAAAATTAACTTGTGGAACTTGGTGTTGCAAGATATTGTTGAGGGGGATAGTTTTAATCTGAAAACAGGATTACATATAGGAATAGGCATAGCATAAATTGTTGCAAGAGCTAGAATTAAATTACAAAGGGCTCTTCATCTTCATATTTCTGACCATAAAATGATCTCTTGGGTGTCTCTTCATGTCATGGTATTGCTCAGTTATGTGTGTTAGTTTTTCTTAACTGTCATTAACCACTGTTTTTGGCAGTATCCTAGTAGTGCATTCTGGTGATTGCCCTGTTAACTCAGATTACTTGGGTTACTGATGTTAAAGCCTGTTAAGACATGACTATTGTTTTCTTGGTTAAGATTTTATAACTAAAGCTGTAGACATGACTATTGTTTTCTTGGTTAAGATTTTATAACTAAAGCTGTAGTGATGCATTTTTTCAAGGGGTTTATAGTGCACTCTTGGTGGTTATTCTTTCAGGCCCTGATCTTGCTGTTCAACATTCAACAGCCCTGCGCTCATGCAAAGCATTAACTTAAGTCAGTTAAGGATTCATGTTTAAGAGTTTTGCTTTAAAATGTTGCAAGCATTTTGTAACCATCTAGGGCAAACAGTGTACTTCTATCTTATTGCTTAAAGTTTGTGAGTTGTATTTTGTCTGCTTTTGGAAGCTGACAGCCTTCAGATTGTTGATGCCATCACTTAGTAAAGAACCTTTGGGATAAATGTCTTCGCAAACTGAGCCAGTCCTATGCAAGCTGCATTTAAACTGCAAATTTGTAGGCCGTTAATAACGTTATATTTCTTTTTTTTTGGGCATTAGCTACTAATTAGTTACATTCTAAGACCTTGCCGCATTTAGTAGTTGGAAAATTTTAGATTCCTACAATACCTATATTAAAATCATCCACAGTTCTTACACAGTATTCATTGATATAGTCATTGGACCAAATTAAACTTCTGCATAAGAGGATACAGGTTTCATTGAAGTGAAAGGGAGAGGTGCCCCTTCATGTGTACAGGATCCATTGTAGAGTTGTGCTAATCTTCATTTAAAATGTTTGCTTGTAATAAGTAGATAGGGCAAAGTAAAGGGTTACCTAAGGAGGTGGTGGAATATTCATCCTTTAGAGGTTTTAAAGGCCTGGCTTGACAAAGCTCTGGCTGGGATGATTTAGTTGGTGTTGGTCCTGCTTTGAGCAGGGGATTGGATTAGATGACCTTCTGAGTCTCTTCCAACCGTAATCTTCTATGATTCTATGAAAGGCTAGAAATTTGAGGGAAAATTGTCTGCTTCCACAACTCAGTGATAAGAAATTGAACATCTGTCTTTCTACTTTATGATGCATAAAAAGCTACTGCAAATTTTTCTTTTTGGGGGATGGGCGGGGAGGAATATGCGGGGGAGGGGGGGGTTACATTAGAAATTCAGATGGAGTTCAATTTGAATATTCTTTGCAGGGCCGGCACCAGCTTGTCAAGCAGGTGCTTAGGGCGGCCGCTCCGGAGAGGGGCAGCACGTCCAGGTATTCGGCAGCAATTCGGCGGACGGTCCCTCACTCCGCCTCAGAGCGAAGGACCTCCCGCCGAATTGCCGCTGCAGATCGCAATTGTGGCTTTTTTTTTTTTTTTTTGGCTGTTTGGGGCGGCCAAAACCCTGGAGCTGGCCCTGATTCTTTGACTGTGGTTATTTGTGATAATTCAATCTATGGACGTCTTCTGCAATCCGTTAAATAAATCTGAATACATCATGAAGGATGACATGATTGTTTCATGCTATCTGCACAGTAACATCATGATAGTTTAGGATGGGTCATATCTGTGACTAGTGGTTGATGTTTCTAGAGAGGACTGAATCAGCATCCAAAACAGTTGAATCCAAATCTGGAAATTCATTTTGATGGCAGCATTCAGGCTCAAGTCTTTAATACAAGCCTAGATAGGTGTCTGGTAAATTCATTGCCTTGAGCTGATTCCTTGTGGCCTACGTTCTCAAGAGTGGGTAGTGATTTGGGGAGACTTAACTTTGAGACATCTTAAAGGGTCCTAATTTTCAGAAGGCAAGTGCTTAGCATTTCTTAAATATAAGGTCCCTTTCAGCTGTTTTGGGTTTAAGCAAATGGAAACTGAGGCACTCAAAATGCCAGTTAGGCTTACATTTGTCATTTTCTATAGTTCATTTTCTTCAGCTCTCTAAGCAGGCATATTTAAAATGGCTGGGCAGTTGAGGTGAGTTAGCCACGCAAATAGTTCTGTCAAATACATCTTTTTAAGGGAGGAGCGTTCGAAGATCTGTTTCACAGTAAAGCAGCTCTTTTGCTCATTAATGAGTTGAATTTTGTACAGGTTGGAAGTTTATTTTGCAATTTTCAGATCCCCCAAAAGCAAAGTGCAGTGTACATGATGAAACGAGATGGTCTAGAGCCCTTAAATGAGCCTTTGTCGAGATTAAATAAGGAAGTAGGCAAGTAATAGAACTTGTTCTGCATTTACTGCAGGAATATTCTAGATTTGCTAATTGTTAGAAAAGAAAAAAAATTCTATGATTGGTTTTTGGTACTTATACTTTCAGGATCCAGCTGTCATAATTGCTACTTAACAAAATCAGAACATAGCAGTGGCTTTTCCGTAAATGGGGGGGGAAAAAAGGAACATTTTTGTTTTTATAATTTTTTCCCATCTAAATTACATCTTTATTATGGTGTGGAGAATATATTATATATGCTTGTGCTTAAAAGTTATATGTTAAAAAGGTTGTGATAGGACTAATTGGGGAATTTTGTTACAATTATGTCCTTCCGTGTATAAGCATTGAATCTGTTTGGCTATATCTGTACAGAATGGGTTTCTAGCTTGTCTATCAGTAATTTAGCTTAGTAAATTGCAGTGCAGTACAATTTGTTTTTCTTCAAGACATATTCATGAATTTGATAAATTTTAGAATCGCATCCCTCAGAAGCAAAGCAGTAACAGTTATACATTTTCCTGTAGATTGTTGTCTCAAAATCTTCTAAACCTGATGGCCAGGTAGTCAACCTTTTGCTCATCTATAGAAGCGAAGTTCCTCAGTGGTGATTTAGTACCAATAAATTCAGTGCATTTAAGATGCTGAATGTGAATCTTTTCTCTCTTGCTATTTTTTACTGTAAGGGAATATCTGGAGATGTGATAGGCTCTCTGCTAAATCAGACATTCCCTTAAGCAGGGAAGGGAGAAGTCAGATAATTAGACAATCAAGAAATGCACCAATCTTTCCATATACAGAGTATTGGATGTTAAACGTTGGTCATAATTTTCAAATCTGTATCCAGTTCTAAAAATTTACACACAATCCTATTTGTATTTTGCAAAGTTTTTACTAAGTCGCGTCTGAAATTAGTGCATGGATGTTTTTTCTGTTCCATTGTTTAAATTTTACAAATATCGCTGCATAGTAATTGATAGAATGCATGTTTAAAGTCAGATAAAGATTAAACTAAAATTTTGAACTTTGGGAATGTGAAATCATTGCACTGAATTTCCTTGGTTTCTAAATCTGTTAAGCAATATAACCAGCCATTGATAAATCACTAGCTAAAAGGTGTATCATTCTTACTACAGTACTTTGCGCGTATCATGAGTAAAGTTTGGGGTAAACAAGAGGGGAAGGATTGTAGAATTCCAAAAACTAGACATTGCAATTTTCAGTGGTAAAATAAAGAACCTCACGGAATGACAGGAACCTCTGAATTAAAACCCTATTGAGCTAGATGGAGGTAGTTCATTTTTCCCTGCATTTGTGGAATACCACCTTATAGAAGAACCAGAGCAGTTTTCCTGTACAGGCATGGGGCAGTGTATGAGAAGCCTGATACGCTCTCTGCATTGAAGTGAAATCAACTTTGTGGGGGTTTCATATTGTCAAAGATGGGAATTGGGGGCAGACCTGCTGAATTGAAGATTCCTCATGCTTATACCATGTGCATTTACCTGTAGGCATCTCTCTCAACTTGAAGCCCTGGTTCTCTTTTCTGTACTTCAAAGATAACCTCTTTGATCTGAGATACAAGTCTAGCTCAGCTATTACCATTCCTATGCTACTTCATTATGGAGATTGCATCTTGAGTTGCCATGTTTACCCCCCCAAGTTCTCTTTGGAGAATATTTGGCTTCCACTGGATGCCATTTCTTTCGCAATACCCGTTTGTTTATTCCTTGGTGCAAGACAGAATGCAAGGGACAACTGTGGTAATTCCGCTGTTAGATTTTAAATATGGGTGAAATACAGGGCTCATGAAAATGAAGGTTTTAAAAACCTGGCTTTACAAGTATGTGCCATTCAAACTTCCTACACAGGTCTATCGATGCATCTCAAGCTTAGTGTACAGTATCACTACTTTTCTAGTCCTGAGCCTTTCTAGACCTGCCGTTCACCCAAGCCATCATACATTTTGCTTTAAATAGAGACTTGAGATAAGCTTAAACCCTCTCTCCGGGTCTAAACATCTCTGAACTTTGGAGTTTGTCCTCTCTACTGTAGAGAAAAATCCACTGGCAATGGGATGAGACCAACCAACTTATTTTCACAATTGAAAATTATGCTGTTCATAACTAAACACCAGTGGCACATTCAACTGGTGTTTCATAAAAGAGGGATGCATACATCTATAATTAATAGAATAACACATTAACAGCTGTGAATTTTGTATTTTTTGTCTCTTGAGGATGAAATTATAATTTTGTTGTGCCACTAGCGCATATGAATTATGCAGGCTTTTGCAGCCCATGACAGTGAGGCTATAAGCTACTGCTGAAGTATTCTAAGTAGACATTCCTCTGTAAGGCATATTCCAGCTACAACCAAAAACCCTTGCAAACTTTAATATTTCAGGTTTTATGCATGCATATATAGTTTTTAAGCTAATTAATTGTGCAAATTGTTTCTTATTCTACATGACTGGATACAAATTAAATTGTAACTTTAAGTCCAAAAGTTTGTAATGCAACTATATCTTTAATATTAAAAAGGGGGAAATTGCTTAACCAGGCAACCTGGATTTTTGGCAGTTTATGTAAACTAACATTTTACTTGTCCTGGGTAACCTGGAAAGATTCATTAATCTTTTTTCTAAAAGTATTTAGAATTAATTAAACCTTTACTAGAACTTTTCTGTATTAAAATTAATTTTATTCTAATAGTACCTCTCTGATTAATGTTCTAATTTTCTTTCCTCAAATTAAAGAAGCTGATTTTGAGTATAAAATACAAATTATTTTTCCTAATATTTACAGTGCACACATGGTTTTAATTTAGCTAAAACTTAGAAAGTATTAACTTTCATGAAGAAAAATTGCATGTTAGCATGCTTTTCATGTGCCTTTAGTGGTTCACTTCACTGCTCGTGCCTATTTGGTTTCCAGTTGGCCTTGGATGTGCTCTGATACCACCTTCAATATGTCTGTCTCATTTAACCTAAATGTGTTGATGTGAACCATATTCCTTTTCTTATACCAGAAAAATAGATAAAACATTACTTGATTTGAAATATGAATCAGTGACATTCTAGTTATGGTAGCAGGGCAGAAAATCTATTTTTTTTATCATGTGCTTTTTCTTCAAACTTCCTGAACTGTTGATCTTAAAACAAATGGGTTTTTTTTTTATTTCTTTATAGCAACAATGGCAGCCATGTATTACAGTTACTATATGCTACCCGATGGAACCTATTGCCTGGCACCTCCACCCCCAGGAATAGATGTTGCCACCTATTACAGTGCACTGCCTGCAGGGATCACTGTATCAAGCACTACAGGAGTAACATCAGTAACCTCAGTACCTCCACCTCCTGGTACTACACCTCCACCTCCCCCAGATACAACTGATTCCAATAGTGGGTTGAAATCTACTACACCTGCTCCAAGGTACCATACTTTCATGTTATATGTATATTTCCTATATTCAGCTTGAAAAAATATTGTTTTTTAAGCAATGAAGGTTTAATTTTAGTTTCACTAATGTAATGGAATGGCTCTTATTGACAGTATGCAGGGGCGATGGTTAGTTCATAGTTTGGACTCAAATGTGGTCAGGAACACTACAAATACATTATACATTCCTAGAAACATAATTATTACCACACATAAAATCCATTTAAAATATTAAATGTGTTCTTTTCCTGCATGAAATTGATCCATATCTGAGGCATATTTAATTTAGCTGTGTGACATTAAAAACATAACAAGTTAGATTGCTTGTGATTAGTTTAGACACTTGTAACAACTGTTTTTGTTTAAAGCAGCTTGGATTATGTGCACCACTACTGTATAAACCAATGTAAAATATTTTGAAACAATGTTATTAATGTGCTGTATTTGTGATTGTTTCCAGAGATTCCTCAGATAACATTGGTGCAGAATATCTCATTTTTGTGAGACTAGGTGAACCAGATGATCGATTGCTTGTATGGTTTATCATAATTTATGGCTTATCATAATGAATTTTTTGCTTGAAAGCAAATATTTAATCTCTAGAAGTACATGGCAGCCCAAAGAGTGAACTTCTGTATAAAATTTTTGGTAAAGCAATAATCAAATTGAAATGTGTTCATATCTCCTATTTATAAATAATGGACTTCTGATGTTTTCAGCACAATTGCTCCAGTGGTTGCCATTATCCCACCACCTCCAGATATCCAACCTGTTATTGACAAGCTGGCTGAATATGTTGCTAGGAATGGAATTAAGTTTGAAACCAGTGTTCGTGCCAAGAATGATCTGAGGTGAGAAAGTCTTCTCTTAACTTTCATTTTCTATTCTTTAAAAAAAAAATCAGTTGGACTGTTTATTTTATTGGCAATGCATGCATTTCTGAAGAAAAGTGTTTTAAGGAAGGTATTTTGAATTTTAACATAAAAAATTACCAGGGACCACTTAAAGGTAACGCTAAAACATGAATGCTAAAACTCAGAATCCAGAAGTTGTGCTTCTGAATGCATATATCCCCTGGGAATCTAGGCATAAGCTATTATATTTCAGAACACCAAATAGTGTTCCTATGCCTGAGGTAGTGAGATGGTAAATGATTGTTGGCATTTGCTTTGTTCATGTGTATATTTCACAAATTATTTGTCCTTCTCTCTTAATAGGTTTGAGTTCCTGCAACCATGGCACCAATATAATCCCTACTATGAATTTAAGAAACAATTCTTCCTTCAAAAAGAGAGCAGTGACAGCTCTCAGGTATGTTTATGATGGGACAGGTGGTTGGGAAGGCAGATCATTTTTTTCTCATTTGTATTCTACATTCAGAGAGTAATATGTAAAACTGATTCCTGTAGAGAGCGTTTGTGTTGGGGGAGGGACTTGGATGCCTTTTATTTCATGTAACGTAAATCCATCAAATTTGTAGCTTTACTCTAGTATAGCATAAGCAAACAATGTTTGTGACGACAATGTGAAAAGTGAAACATCCTGAGAACCTTTAGAGCAAATTACGCAGCTGCTATGTGGAGATCCAAAACCCAGAGTGGCACTCTGTTCCCATGAACCTTAGGAGCACAGCAGTAGCGGTTACCTCTTCTTGCATGCCTCAGCCTGCTGTCTCTAAGGCAGCTCTTAGTTTTTCTGGTCCACTACCTCTCAGACAAACTTCAACCGAGAAGGTCAGTGTAATCTGGCAGCTGTCCTGATTGTTCTTAATTGAGAAGACCTGCTTCTTTCTGCGTCCCACTGAATTTCTGCTTTTGGAGAAAATACAGAACACACATGATTGAAGATAGAGAAGCAAAGTGGAAGAAGGCAAGAAAATTACAGTTTTTGTGGATTTATGAAGCTTTTTGACTAAGTAGTAAATTGCCACATGAGCTGGTTCAGTATTCTCACAGGCTGTGGATATAATAGGACAGAGCAGCATGTTGAAAGTGATTCTAAAAAGGACATTTAAATTGCTCTTACCAAACTACCCAGTCAAGAACAACTTTGCCTGTCAGGCTCCTAGTAAGCTGTCTGTAGAGCAAAGGCAGCAGCGGGAGGACCCTTCCTAGAAGCAGTGATGACATCCATACAAATGAATTACTGTGCAGTAATTAAACCCAAACCCTTTCTTTAGAGCATATGGCCAAGCAGTTTGGTCTCATGACTCTCAGCAGATGCCTGTTTTTTCCTCTCTCATTAGCCGTCTACGACTGCTATAGAATCTTTCAGAACTTTGTCTTCAGATATCCTCTAACCAGAAGCTTCTTTTAAAGTGACAGTAACTTTGTACATAACTCGGTGAAGCACGTGTAAGGATTAAATATCTGCATTTCTATTTTAAACTATTTTAGAGAGTTTACAGTGCAAATTCAAGGGTATGTGAGCTTGGGTTATAGAATGGCAGTATTGCAGCTAAGGAATATTCTTACTAACAAATTTTCCATTACATAGTGTAGGCTGCTCTTAAATTAGTAGACTTCGTAGGAATGAATGTGCTGCACAGTAGTTTTGTTTTAAACAATTAACTTTGGCATATAATTAGTTCATTAGTACATAAAACCATTCACAATTTGAAGATCTGCAGCTAATGGTGAGTAATGGGCAGTGTCTCTTTACTAACAGTTTCCTCCTTTTCATGGATATATATCAAATTCTTAATGTAGTTCTAACATAGTCCTATTTAATTTATTAGCTAGTGTATGCTAGTATTTATAAGGCATATTTTCTGTACTCCAGAAAATTTGTGAAATTGAAGCAATTTTCTAGGAAATTGTATCAGTTATTCTACTTGGTAAAATTTTATCTTGTGTAGTATGTTAACTTGTACTGGATTTCAGTAATGAATGAAGTGCTTTTGAAAACAATTTATTTGGAAATTATTCATAGACTATTAAAACTACAAGATTTTAATAGAAACTAATAATTTTTAGGCAAAAGTTTCTTTTCTTTAATATCCAGCTGTTCTTCATGAAGTATACTAGCAAAAGCAGTGGGCTTACATTCTATATTAGTTGCCTAGATTAATAAGAATTTATTTTAAAAAATTGTGAGGAAATGATGCATCAAAGAAAAGTGATATTAAGTATTGCCATTTAAAGTTGAAGTATTGTAACTTTCAGACCTGGTGATGAGTATAGCTAAGAAGCCAACGGAGCATGATTAAATAAGTTCCTTGAGATTTTGTGTAACTATACGAACTTTCCCCTGTGTAGTTGTGCAGATAATTCCCTTACTTTTCTAAAAGATGAAAGCTATTTGTGCTTTTAATATTATGGCTAATGGTATTTTCTTTGCATACTTTATTCATATAACCAAATATAATGCCTGCTTCTGCATCATTTTAAATCAGCTTTTACCATTGACTTCAGCAGGTACAGGATAGTCCTCAATGCTGTTTTATAAGTCTAAACTGTTTTATAGATTAGTTCATGCTTGGCCAGTGAATGGCTGCAGAGGGGAGGGATGGATGAAAACCTCTGATGGCTGAAATATAAAATATGGAATGGGTCCCTCCTTAACATTTAAAATCTGTAAACAATAAGTATATTGAGAAGCAGCCAAACAATCTATTAGGGAAGGGTTATTGAAATAAAAAAGTTTTCTTTTTTGTTCATATAATTCTCAGACCCTTAAGTCTTTCAGCTCTTTTTTTTATGGAGAACACGCCAAATAGCCTTCATTTAATGTATATATATTTTTACCTTGGCATTTTCCCATACCAGAATAGTTGAATCTTATGACAATAAAGCCACTTGTACTTCTAATAGTATCACCCCTGTTGAGGATTTCAAAGCATCTAGGGAGTTGCGTTCTAACAGTTTAGTTCACAAATACCAATGGCAGCTCAAAGTATCCATAGTAAGAAAGAGGCTTCCTGTTTCTCTCTCCTTATTGAAGTCTGTTGCTAATTATTTCACATGCATCGTTAGCTTAAAGTGTTGCACACAGCCAAAACAATTGTGCTCTAATGTGGAAAGCTCTTAAATAATTAAGCCCCAATCTGTGTTTTTAATTTCCATTTATAAGTTACTTTTTTCACTGAAATGGTTTCTGAATGACCCCGTCTTCACGTTCTGATTGAAGGGAAGGGCTGGGTGATCTTTGAGACTCAGACAGGAGGCTGTCAGACGGGTGGCCTGACAACAAGCCAAGCCAAGCTTCTGTGCTGTGACCCTACACAGATGTCTCCTCCCAGAATCAAGCAAGGAGCCACTCAGGTGGTTCCCCTTATCTCCCCTCTTACCCGCCTTCCCTCTTTTTTTGCATCCCAGTAACTTTTGTGGGAGTTATGGCAAAAACTAGTGAACAAAGGAGGTTTCAAGCCAGTAGTGGGAGGAGGAAGAGGTGCTTCTGCCATTGCTATTATGGATGAGGATCCAGGTGTGCATGAAAACCAGCCCTCCTCTTGAGAGATGGTTTTGTGAATACTTCCGATCTGCCCTGAATTATTGCTAAAAGCAAGGAGCTCACTTCTTAACCCATTGCTAGTTAGTAACAACCTCACCTGATACCATCTCCCTTCAGGGGGCTTCAGAGCAAGAAGTGGTAATGATGTAGTGCTGCTGTTGATAGAGAAATAAATTGTTTTCCCTACAGCAGCAACTTGGAGTAGTTTAAAATCACTGACTAGCTCCCCCATGATCTTTGTCAAAGAATGTATAAATACCAATTAAGAATTATTAAACAGGATATTGTATGTTAGAAGTGGCATGACCTTTCATTCTGATCATTGTAAATGGTCTTCATTGATTCTGCTGAAGGCCCCCCAAGGAGCTTGAGACCAAGAATAATTCAAATTTGAGGGAGGGTAGCTTTGGGCATTAATTTTGAAACTGCAAATCCTTAAAAAAATAGCTGAAGTAACGCTACTGGCAAAACAAAGAAATTAATGGAAAACCATTATTCTTTTAAATCATCCCATATTATTTAGGCATTGCAGGCAATTTGTATGTGTAATTTGTGGCTTTATATGTGTAATTTAATATGATATATTCAGAATTAACCAGGAACAGCAGAATGCCTCTATATTCACTCATATTTTTTCACTGTTTAAACCTTTCATACATTTTTAATGCATTGTTTGTGGTTATTAAGTTGTTTAGATTTACTTTAAGTTCAAAAAAACCCAAAGAAACATTAGGTCTGTTTATTACCAGCAGGGTTACTGATGTATATTGCAGCTAATCGGGCTACTCTTTTGAAATGGCTGGAAGATTTCCAGCGCCATCATATTACAGCCATTTTGTCCAGAGCTAATATTATAAAATTCAATCTGTTGGACAGCATGAAGTGAGAATTATATGTATAACAAATAAGTTATATGTTGGGTATCATCTAAGCAAAATTGTTGGTAAATTGACTTTTATAGTGGTTCTAATTTACATACTTATTGGAGAGGAGTGAGGGAATGGGTTTTAGATAATATCTTACAATTAAGACACGCAAATCTAGTTTCTGTTCTGTTAAATTAGTGAAGAGCATATATTTTGTAGTAATTGTACTTGATGAAATGTTACAAAAAAAATAGATAAAATATTTGACTGCAATTTCTCTAGTTGAGGGGAAAATCTTATGCAACATGCATCCGTTCTTTCAAAGAAAAAGTGGGAAAAAATGTGTTTTCTCTAAGTATAATTGATTTTGTATTGAAAAGTTCAGCTCTCTCAAAAATGTTTGTTTCCTTTTCATAGATTCATAGACTCTAGGACTGGAAGGGACCTCGAGAGGTCATCGAGTCCAGTCCCTTGCCCTCATGGCAGGACCAAATACTATCTAGACCATCCCTGATAGACATTTATCTAACCTATTCTTAAATATCTCCAGAGATGGAGATTCCACAACCTCCCTAGGCAATTTATTCCAGTGTTTAACCACCCTGACAGGAACTTTTTCCTAATGTCCAGCCTAAACCTCCCTTGCTGCAGTTTAAGCCCATTATTTCTTGTTCTATCCTTAGAGGCTATGATGAACAAATTTTCTCCCACCTCCTTATGACACCCTTTTAGATTCCTGAAGACTGCTATCACGTCCCCGCTCAGTCTTCTCTTTTCCAAACTAAACGAACCCAATTCTTTCAGCCTTCCTTCATAGGTGATGTTCTCTAGACCTTTAATCATTCTTGTTGCTCTTTTCTGGACCCTCTCCAATTTCTCCACATCTTTCTTGAACTGCGGTGCCCAGAACTGGACACAATACTCCAGTTGAGGCCTAACCAGCGCAGAGTAGAGCGGAAGAATGACTTCTCGTGTCTTGCTCACAACACACCT